TCTGAGGAAATTTTAGATGCACTCATCATCAGAAAGGTTGCCGACCCCTGGCCTAGGCCATGTGCCCGAGGACTACCACCAAAACTTCTTGGGGTACTGAATAGGGCCGCACAAAGCCCGGCCACACAAAGGTGGAGGCTCAGCTGCTGGATCTGATGATTCTCGAGCAGTTTGTCAAGGGACTCCCGACAGGAACGGCGGAGTGGTCCTTTGCCATCACTGTGTCACAGGCCAAGAACCACCTGGCAGCGCAGTCAGCTAGCCTGCCCCAAGGAGGAGGCTTCCCTACTCCACCAAGCAGGAATCTTAGAAGTGTGGGTGGACACCAGCATCATGACTGTCTTCTGACAGAGGGGGGGCAGGTGTTCCATGTTGCAGGCCCTCTGACACCTTCCCTCAGTCCACGAGGGACGCATAGTGGTAAGGTGGTAAGGGGTATACACCAGGCTATTGTAGACTCAGGGTGCACACAGACCTTGGTCCACCAAACTCTGGTTTGGCCCGGGGCATTGCTGAAGGTAGAGTGGGTGGAGGTTAAGTACATGCATGGGGACATACACAAATATCCTACTGTGCTGCCAGAAAATTAAGTACAATCCCACTACAGCAGTCTCATGACAAAACTCTATACTCAGCCTTTGACCAAGTGATAAAAATTACTGGTCACATGGTGCGCCCTGACACAGCACTGGCCTACCTGAATTTTGTATTAATCAGACATAGACTGTATTGGGTGAGTTGTAACAGTCGCACAGAAGAGGAACACACCCAGTTGTTGGTGCTTTAAAGCTTTTGGGAAATTCTCTGGTTAGCCTGGCGAAGGAGAGAGATGATTTGTCGTCTGGAAGTGCGAAATTCCACTATTCCCACCTCCCCCCATTGTGATGACCATCTCACACAAGCCCAGAGAATGGGTGTTGCTGCATTGCAACAGTGTTTTGCAGATGTGTTCTCCCCCCTGCCTGGCCATACCACACTCAGAGCACAATTTTGAAATGTGTCCTGGTGAGATGGTGCATTCACAGCCCTACAGGTTACCTCAACATAGGTTTAGCCCCATAGTTCTTATCTATACGGTTCTGTGGTGACTACCACAAGGTGAATTGTTACATTTTGATGCATATGCCATGTCCCGGGTCGACAAGCTCCTGGATCAGATAGGCATTGCACCTTTTTTATGACACTGGAGTTAACCAGTGGCTACTGGCACATCCCCTTATCTCCAGAGTCTAAAGAAAGTCATCCTTCTCCACTCTGTACGGTTTGTACCAATTAGCCACACTTTCGTTCAGCTTGTTCAGGGCCCCAGCTACTTTCCAGTGTCTCATGAACCTGCTGTATGACATCATCATCCATAGTGACACCTGTGCAGAGCATGTGCAGCAGGTGGCCATAGTCCTAGAGTCTCTGAGGCAGATGGGGCTCACAGCCAAGAAGAAGTGTGTGAGCAGACAAAGGGAAGGTACAGTATCTGGGGAGGTGGGCAAGTGCGCCTGCAGGAGGTGAAAACAACACCCATCGTATACTGCCCATGTCCCAAGACTAAAAAAAAGAGGTGAGGCAGTTCTTGTGGCTGGCTGGTTATTGCCGCCGGTTCATGCCGAACTTCGCAGAGCTGGCCAGCCTCTTGACTGCTCTAACCCAAAAGGGTGACCCAGATCTGATCCAGTGGACAGAGCAGTGCCAGACAACGTTCATACAGGTGAAGAAGGATCTCTGTTGCAAGCCTTGTTCCACATGAAAAACTCCACTGAGTGATCTTGGAAAAAAGCTGGAAATAAAACATAACTAGTACTCCAATAGTGTGTATG